ATTGGGCCGAATTTTAGAAACAAATATTTTATACTCTGAAGAGAGGAACTCCATGCAGTTACACTATTTCAGGAAAGCAAGACAGCCCAGTGACTTCAGATAGGGAAATCAAATGTGCATGCCTCAATTTGAAGTAGTTAAAAGGTCAACTAAACTACAAATCAAGATGGTTTTTTGCAGTCCTCATTTTGATGATGTGCCTTTTGTTATAGCTCAGTTCATTTTATTGTGGTTTGTTCGTGTGTGTGTGTGTGTGTGTGTGTGTGTGTGTGTGTGTGTGTGTGTGTGTGGATACACATATACACATAAGAACAAACCATATGTATATATATCTACCCCATTTAGAGCTTTAAAAAGGGTTCAATTTCATCTCTACTAAAAAAAAAAAAAAAAACTTTTTGCTGTGTGCTGATGTGCAGCATCTGTAACTTACCAAAATTATCCCCTGAGTGCATTGTTTCATTAGTGAGAAGCTTTGTCATTTTCCAGACTGATGGATGTTTTAGAAAGTGACTTGTCACTGTGACCTGCAAACCAGCTACAATAGCAGTCTCTGCCAGTGCTGTGTATCACACTTACCTGTAATCCTCCTTGGTATCTCAGACTATACCAAGGTGTGTGAAGATTGTAGCAAAATCTCGTATAGTGACACTCAGTACGCTTCAAAGTACTGTGGTGGTAATTAAATAAGAAATGTCCAGGATGTGGGCTGAGAGAATAATCTTCTGGTTTTCTGATTGTGTGTTAAATATTAACAAAAAGCATGCTCTAATTTTCTGATACCAGTGACAGATATCTAAACTTAAACCTCTTTATCCTGAATTCACTTGGCTGTGTCATGTTTCGGAACATTTGGTACTTTATATAAGGCACTAGACTGAAATTTCTGCAATATTTCAGTGCAGCTGCATAGTTGAAAAAAGAAGGTTGAAAAGCAGAACACTACATGTGTGCATGCATATGTGTGTGCAGATGTTTTTAATGCTTAGGTGAGGAAGTGCGGGTACTATATGTAGATGTCTGTGCACATGTGAGTAGGGTTACATGAATTATCCCTTAATACAGTTTTTACCACGTTACGCTATGTTGCCATTTTACAACTCATTTTTCTTGGGCTTTATAATTTTAAAAAGATTGGTAAAATCAGACTTTGATTCTCCTTTTCAGGAGGTTTTTATTATCAGCTTTTTGGTTGAGTGTTGATCCCTTTTGTTTTTCATCCTGCAGGCGGCAAAGTGATGAAGTGAAAGTATCTGTTACAATGAATGTGGCAAGATGAAGTTTTAAGTTGCTTTGTTATTCTTGCTAGTTTTAACTTGGAGAATTTTTATCTCGCTTTCTTATCTTTCACTGTTTGTTTTAAATGCAAATTTCTTTGAATACAACTTTCTGATGTGTTTGAAGAAGTTTTAACATCATACTTCATTCTGTAATGCTGAACATCATGTTGCAGCCAGTAAGCATTAGACGTAGTTATTTGTAGATTGCAAGTGTGTTGGTCTCAATTACCTGAATCTAACATTTCCAACACACTCCTGCTAGCTTGAACATAGCTAGTCATCTGTTCTGACAGCAAAATTACGAGGGAAAAAAACTGTTTTCTGACAACTTATTTATTTGCACTACTTATGAATACTGGAGTTTACTGGGACAGGGTTTTTTCTCACCATGTGAGGTTTACTTGTGTGTGGGTAGGTACATACATTTGTCACGTGTTGACAATCAATTGCCTCAACTGTGTGTATACTGTATGTAAATATGAACATATTTTTCAAGATTAAGGGGGAAACCTGCACCTTAATGGTGGTAAAGCTGCTCTGAAGAAAGGTGGCCCCAACTTTTACCCCTTTCTGTCTCCAGATAGATGTGGCTTGTTTTACTTCTGTAATGAACATAATTAATTTTCCTGGAAAATTTTGGTTCCAGGGAGATTTTCCTCAATGTTTAATGTATAGCATGTTCAGAGAATTATATTTTCAAAAATTATTTTTGGTGTAGATTATTCTATGCTATGGCTTATTTTAATCTAAATTTTAAATTTGTCCTATTTTATCATGAAACAGTTGCTCTCTTTTAAGTGTTGAAGTGTTTTAATTTCGGTCACAGGCCGGGAATTTTTGTTGGACTTGGCTTACAAATTAACTTAAATTTGAAGACCAGGTAGTAACCAAGAATAACTTTTTGAGTAAAATTCATGATCAGTACAAACTTGATACTGAACTTGTAATCCTGGAGGAGGTGTGGAAAGCAAAATGGAACTTACTTGAATGGAATGTATGTGCTGCATACAGAACAAAAAGATGTTTCTGTTATTTGTAGATCTATAAGTCTTATCCTTAAATTCTGCAATTCTGTCACTGCCAAAGATATTGTTACCTTGGCATGTTTCATATGGGATGTTAGCTAGGTCTCATTTGCAACATTCATTTCCATCATTGGAATAGTTTGTACCAGAACTATAAACGTGCTTTTTTTTTTTTTTTTTTTTTTTTTTTTAAATGGCTTGTTTAGGACTGAACTAAAGTTATAAATTATCAGTCCTTTTCAAGCATCAAAAGTGGAGGGCTAATCCTCTGTACTTGCATTGCATTTTTGGCGTAAATAAAATTGATCAATATTTTGTATTTTCTCTGGTATGTTAATGCTGCTTATTGCTGATATACGGGCCTTAATTTCTCTTTCTCTTACTAAATTCAGATAAATTTCTCTTAATTTCTTAAACTAGTATTAGTCTGTTTTCCCACTGGCTCTTGAATAAATTTCATTTCTGGAAAGCTGTTCTGTAGGGATTTGGGGGAACAGAACCCAGCATGGATATTGTATTTGTGAATATATACATCAGTCTGTCAAAATGTGCATGTTGTGATCAGCTGAAGAGCTGAAATACTCACCTGCTTCTTAAACAATGATGGACAACAGCAGAGAGCTGTGAGCAACTTGGTTCATCAATAGTTTATGAAGGCAAGCAGTAAATGGATTTTGCAAGACTGATCTGCATAATGATTTCCACTTAGTCATTAAAAAAAATTATTTTAAAATTTAACCAAATCATGGAACAGATTTTCAAAACATAACGGGTAGCCATTTCTGAGAAACTTAGCTTGTGGCAAGTGTCAAGGCCTGCTATCATGTGATACATTAGAAGTTCAAAAGCAAGCTCTAGAAGCCTGAAGGTATCTCACAGCTGCCAGGAATGGATTTAGTAAAAATCTAGTTAAAATTTAGTCTCGTGTTATGTGACTTTATTTGAGATTTTTTTGAAGAAAAAAAAAAATCAAAAGTGATTTCCACCTCTGTTATTTATTTTCTTTAGAATCAAAAAACCGAACACTTCTGATTTTATTTTAACTGTATTGATCAGATTTTTCAGAATAGTGTTAGGGATAAAATGAATTTTAAAATAAGTCCGTAAATTATTTGTTCTGTCATAAAGGATTACTAAGCTACTCCTGTGAGGAGCTGATGTGTGAGAACACTTGTACAGTAAAACTTTGTGTCTGTACAGTAAAACCTTGGCCTACGTTTTAGCTTGTGCACAATGGGGAGAGCTGATAAAGCTGTATTAAGAAGTTATTGGGTTGTGAGCTCCCAGTGTTTTATAGTCCTCACCCTCCCCAGAACTGATCTGGAAACAGAAAAATTAGTATGAATGAAGCAACCTTTTCGAAGAGAGATGGACTTTGTTCAAAAATAGGTGGGACTTGGGAGTGACAAGTACTGGCTTCTGACACTGTCCTTTTTGTTCACGTGGTTCCTGTTGTTGTGCTAGACTTTCATGCTGTTTATGAAAAAATTGAGTATTAGAAACTTTATGGCTTGAAGTATACAGTAGATGTGAGTTAGCAATCACTAACTAGATAAACCACTTCTCAAAGCTTTTTAGTAGATAGTACTGGGGTGTGTCTGTGTGTTTTGTGTGCCAGTGTTTGATGAATACTTTGAAACAAGACTTCTTACTGTTTACTTGCAGAAAGTGCATACTTTTAGGATGGATATAACTGGCTGGTTTATTTATGAAGAAACGATGTACGATTAAATAAAATTGAGTTATTTAACGTTTTTTCCATATCGAGGATTCCAGGAAAAAAAAAGCTAATAAAGATTTTTTAATAATTAAATCAGATACTCTTAATACATTTTAGATTTACTAGGGTAGCTTTTCTTTGCTATACAAACCTGAATCGAGGTACCCCGTGCTGCATTTTTTAAATTTGTAATTCTTCTATTTTACAACAAATCTTTTGCTCTGTACTGTCCTTGTAAGAACGCAGGATACGCCATTGATTTTACTAGCAAAAAGAAATGCTCTGCAAGGGTTAAAAGATTATTTTCCTACTTTTTCTGTCATACCAGGTTTGTTTCTCTGAAATAAGCTTTCTGAGGATTTTTACTACTCTTAACATGGTGTGCTCTGATCTCTGTCATAGAAGGAGCATAAGCAGCACGTCCGTCCCACGTGTGCAGACAGCTGGGCTAGGCCCGAGGGCAGGGATAGGGCCTGTGTGGGCAGGAGGTGCTGGGAGGGATGGAAACACGTGGGCTTCGAGAGGCCGTGAGCTGTGCTGTGTGATGTCCTTTATCGTGGGACCAGGGAAATCCTCATTCTTAGAGCTGAAGATGGCACGGAGCGAAGATCGTGTTATTGATGCATGTAAGCCATTATCTTACTGTCTTACTGAACTGGGTAATGCTGTTGACTGTTGTTGAAATGTGAAACGTAGTTACTGTTGACTCTGTAAATAAATGCCAGAGATGAAATATAATTATTTTAAATCATTGTAAATAGAGATGTATAAAACTCGACACAATCTGCAATGCAGAAAAAAAATTATATATATATAAATATATAAAGATGTTAAATAAATATTGTGCTGTTTCTGAACAGAACTGGAGCTGCTCGGAGTTGGTTTTGTTTTTATACTTTGAGTGGCGTCGATCAGGGCCCCAGCCTTCCTCAGGCAGCTTCGCGTCGCCTCGGCAACCGCTGGCGGCCGCACGCATGGCTGCCAGCGGAAGTCCCGCCCCCTCGTGTCTCCCGCCGACAGGCGGCGGGAAGCAGGGTCCTGGGTCGCGGATTGGCTGAGGCGCGCGTCAGTCAAAGGCAGGCGGCGGTCCTCACAGCGTGGGCGCCCCGCACCCTCTCAGCGAGGGCGCCTGATTTGGTGGTCGGCTGGCACGCTAACCCACTTCGCGCTCCTGCCACCGACTCAAGGAGCGCTCTGGAGCCCGTGCTGAACCGCCAGTGGTGAGGGCGAGAAGAGGCAGGCGCCCGAGGCCTAAAGGCCGGACCCGGGCCCTGCGACGGGTGGTCGTTGCCGCTTACCCTCGTGGGCACCTGGCGGCAGCGCCCCCTGGCGGCCGGGCGGCTCCGCCCACGTGTGTGAGGTGGGGGTGCTCGCCGGGCGCACACCATGAGCTTGGCGGAGTGTCGGAGCGGCGGCGCTCTGCAGGTGAAGTTCGTGCCCGACGAAGACGTCCTGAGGCACATCGCTGACGACGCAGGTACGGCCGGGCCGGCGCTCCCCGAGAAGGGGCGGTCGGCCCTTCTCCAGCACTTGCGGCGGCCGCCGGCGAGGTGAGGCCTTCGGCCGCCCTCCCCCAGCCTGTCTGCTCCGCTCTGTGCCCGCGCCCCGCCCGGAGCACAGAACGGGTCGCTGCGGCGCGTGCCCTCAGCTGAGGGTGACGCCAAGTTCTGATGGCAGCTGCCTGGTGGGGGCCTGGCTGCGGGGAACCGCCCGCCCGCCTCTCCGTGGCGCGAACGCACGGACAGAATCAAAGCAGCAGCGGGGCCGGGCCGGGCGCTGCAGGAGCCGCGTGCCGCAGTTCTGGCTCCTTGTAACGTCTGGAATTGCGGTCTGCAGAAATCCTCAGAATGCATCTGCGTCAGGTGCGGAGTACCCGATCCGCGTTGTTGTTCGTCCTGCTCTGAGCGGGGATCAGACAGGTGGTTTACAGAGGTCTCTCAGCCTAAATTTGTCTGTGGGCGTGCTGGCAGTTGGTACCTAGCGCTAATTAGTTTGCGTCCCACCCCTAGGCAAGGCAGGGGATGCTAAACGCACCCTATTTGCATGCAGTTTGGATCTTGTGTGGGTGAGTTGCTGCCGTTTCTTCCCAAAGTGGAAGCAGGTGTGTCCTGAAATGAGGCCCTTGTCTTCCCTTTACCTGCAGTATCAGCTTCCTTACTAAAGGACGGACTGATGCAGCCGACTGCCCTGATACAGACCAGCTATTCCATTAGCAGCAAACCTTTTCTATTTTGCATTTGAACAGCATTTTGCACAACAGTATCTTGGTTTGTGAAGGGGGGTAGCTGCATAGTTCTGCAGTGGAAGTAATGAAATAACAGCTTTCATTTAAAAAAAAATCTTTTATTGTAATTGTAGGTGTTAAAGTTCAGAAAGGCAAAAACCAGCTGATAGTCGATACGAAGAGATTTGTAAAGAAGCTTGAGGCTGTCTCAGATGATAAAGCTCAGGAAATCCTGGAGGAGAAGAACTATGTTGCTGTTTTAGGCGTATGTGGCGAAGGTACCTGGGGCAAAGGGAACGTACCGCAGATATTACTTTGGGAGATTATTTTTGTCTCAACAAGTTGCATAGTGTTTATGAAAGTGCTGTTGTGGGCTGGCTAGCTTGAGCTGCGCGTGTGGTGACAGAGGGAGAGGATAATGATTTCTAGAATTTGTTTCATGATACTGATTTCATAGCACCTACAGTGCGAAGAGTCATTTGAGCCCAACAGTAAATCATCACCTTTCCTATTCTATGGGTTGGGAGTATACTTGTACTTCTAAAGCGGTTACAAGTAACATTTCTGTTCACAGAATCAATGACAAATGGCTCAAGTGTAGGTGGTGGTGAAGTTTACACATTCCAGACTCCCAAACGCTCCAACAAAATGGCAGAGCTGGGTACGTTTTCCTCTTTCTTCTTCCATCTTGCTCTGGCTATGATCTTTTTGTGTATCCCTGTTAATGTGATCTGTATCTTCTTTTCATTCAAGTTATGTGTTTGTTACTATTCCAGTAGCTTTTATCCAGCTCTGAATTGGTTTTCCTCAGAAACAGAAGCTCAGCACTAGGGCAAAGCAAAGGCATGGTGGGAATAAGAGATACTTAAAATAAATGTGTAAAAACTGGAAGTCTGTTAATGCTGTGAGAAGAGCTTATGTGTATGTGCCCAAGGATGGCAGGACTTTTATTTTCGTATCTTCAAAGGATATGTGAGAATAACTAGTTATGTAACAAAGAGTTTAAACCAACAAACAAGCAACCCAAAGGGCAGTGTTAGCTTTGTGGAAGGGGATTTCTCCTGCACAAAGTGTCTGTCAATGTACTTGCTAGGCTAGTTGTTAGAAGAAACAGGCTGTGCTGAAGAGTGGGCTCTTCTGGACAAATAAGATGCTTGGACCATCGTGCCACTACATTTCTTCTTTTCAAGTGAAGAGTCCTTTGTTTGCCCAATACCACTTGAACTCCAGTGGTGTTTGGTTTCCACAGCTACTGTTGTACTCTGCAGAGGAGGAGGAATTTCCTTCCATATCGTGATACAGAATCTGTTGTTTCCATCTCTCTTTATCTTCCTCTGGGCTTCTGCTGTGTGAAAGGAAAGTTTGTTTCTCGCACCTCTGCAGCAGTGTACATTTCCCTGGTTCCTTCAGTTTGAAAACTGCTTCCCAGAGTTCTTCACCAATACCACTGAAAGCTCCTGGTATGTGGTGATGGGTCAATGCCTTCCCTTTTCAGCAGACACCCTGCAGTTGAGCTGTTGATTATTTTAGTCTTGCAGGCTAGAATTGGAACTTGGGGTTGACTAAAGAGATGGATGGGTTTTGAACATCAGAGATGACTAAACACTGTCGAAACTGAGCTTAGACAGATATAAAGATAAGTAATAGTAACTTGTTAGGCAAGTAGTACAGTAAGAGGCTGTATTTGTTGGTGATCTCTTAGGCGGGGCATTCCATATTCAGGTCAATGATTCAACTTCAGCTTGAGCTGATAAGTAGTTGAAAGAGGTAAGCAGAATACAAGAACCTGCCTCCTGGGGGACTGATGTGTTTGTTTTACCTGCTGCTCCAGTGTGTTCAGTCACTCAGTGTTAAAGAACTGAGTGGGCATAACAGAGCATTTCTCTAATTTTGAAGATATACAGTACCCTAGGGAGCAAAGCTTGCCCTGTCGTTGCTAAGCAGAACTTTGAAATGAATTAACTGAGGAATTTGAGTTTTGAAAATTTTTGTCTAGTGTTACATTAATCTCTAGGGTTAGGAAAAATAATAAAAAATAAAGCATCTTAGGCACTTTCTGAAATAGATAGGAAATTAAAATTTAGACTTTTTTGTGGTGTATGACTTCACTGCTGACAAATCCAAGTTGGAAGTTTTCTATCTGACATGAAATTTCTTTTCCTTCTATGTCCTATAGCCTCTGAATTAGCACAGACACCGGGACAGAGTGTTGTACCTGATCCCTCTGAGTGCCCTGAGAAAACAGCCAGAACCCCTCAAAGCAGCAGTAAGTATATGATGCTACGAGGAACTGAAGCTGAGTGAACAGGTTCCTCTTTGCGTTGTTCCTCATCTTTGCAGATGCTCAAGTATTCTGGTCAGTTTAACGTTGTAGGCTGAATTTGCATGGCCTTTTGATCACTTGTCTGCTGCATCTTATATTCTGTCCTGCTGGTGCAGAGAAAATGAACTTCTCACTCATCTGTTGCTGTCACACATGACAATTCATGTTCAACACAGATGATTGGACTTGAATTAATGAGCTGGACTGATGTGTTGAGCACCAAATGAGTTGTGAGTGGGATTGTGTGCATGTTCATGTGCAACTTCTGTTGTGGCTTAACTTGGCAGGCCTCTAAGGCACTACACATCCATTTGTTCACTCCCCCTCAGTGGGATGGGGAAGAGAAGCTAAAACCTGTGGGCTGTGTTAAAGACAATTAGGATAGAAAAATAAGGGAAAAAAATAATGAGGATGATGATGATAAAAGAATATACAGACTAAGTGATGCCCAGTGCAATTACTTGCACCTGCTGACCAATGCCCACCCCAGCCATCTCTTCCCTCTGCCCAAGCTTTATTATCTGGCATGGCATCATGTGGTGTGGAATATCCCTGTGGCCTGTTTGGATCAGCTGTACTGGTACTGTTTCCTCCTTGTGTGCTCCTTGCTGGCAATGTAGTGTGAGAAGCTAAGAAGTCATTAGTGTAAGCACTGCTCAGCAACAGCCAAAACTTCAGTGTGCTGTCCACATTATTTTCATCTTAAATCAAGAGCATGGTGCCATACCAGCTACTAGGAAGAAAGCTAATCATCTCAACTGAAAACAGGGCACTTCATAATTTATTATAGTTTTCTCCCTGCCATTATTGAGTGCTTTAAATGAAGGTGGAAAAAGTCAGGGCAGGTGAAGATTGGCAAGAGTGTGTTGCTTTGTGCTCACAGTCTGCCCTCAGCACTGGGGCATTTAGTTCCTTTTTCAGTGTCTGTCAGTCCCCTCCTGCCGAGGGCCTCCCACAGCTGTGACTAAATTAAGAGCTGCCTTCTATGATAATAACATTCACTGTCTTTGTTCTCTCATTGCTTGCCTGTGGGGAGCTAATAACTTCCCCTGTACTGCTCAGGGAGTTGATATTCTGGTGTAGCATACCTTTGAACAGTGTTTCTCTAATAGAGCATCTTGTGCCTCTGAAAATATGCAGTACTCTTAACTATGCTGTTTCTTGCCTTGCAGAACGTTCAAGTTCAAACAAAGTTCAGCAGAAGGTGAGTGTTGATATTCTGTTGATTTATTATTATATTCCTTCTCAACACTTTTAAAACTTGAGCTGACAAATTGCTGCAGTTCTGGAAATCCTCACCCACCTTATAGATGTCTCCTAATCTAAGAGGGCAGGGGTAGCTTAAGTGAGAACCAGAACTGCCACTCATCAGAGCTATGGAATTGAGGGTCTGTGCTAGTCAGTGAATTTGACAGCTTGATTAGCATGGGTGGAGACTTTCCTTCCATCGCACAAATGAGGATGTTAAACAGTCTCTTCACATGCAATTAAACTCATAGCTTTCCACTTTCTTATCAAAGGAAGAAACAACATTAGTAATAAAGATTTCATGTCTTTCCACTCCTTATCCAAGGATGTTAGTTAAAAGAATTAAGCCCTTTTTGGAACCTGATCCTGTCTCTCTCTAGCTGTGAATGGGAACTCTCCAGACTTATTGATTCTGCTTTCCGAGTTTCCTGTGGGCTGAAATAGCTTGGAAATTAAACCTGATTAAATCTGATTTCACTTGGTGAAAGGCTATTTTGGGGAGCTATGTGTGATTTCTTCTAATGCATGTGTGTTTTTTTTTTTGTCTTTCTTTTTTCTGCTAATACAGACCAAGAAGAACGAATTTGTGTCTACCACACCTTATAGGCTCCGAAGGAGACTAGCAGGTAATCACAGAATCACAGAATTGTAGGGGTTGGAAGGGACCTCCAGAGATCATCGAGTCCAACCCCCCTGCCAAAGCAGGTTCCCTACACCAGCTGCAGGGATGATGAAGCTTTGTAATTAGCTTCCATAGTCAGTGAGGCACCGTGTTCAGAGGAGGTTGTTTCACCTGCTTATGGGCTTTGCCCTGTAGCAGCAGTCTGGTTAGTCTTACAGTGCACAGAAACATCCCTCGGGCAGGTCTGCATAGACCTTTTCCATATGCTTTGCTGTGTAAGAATAGGGTAGAAGGGTTAGAAGCACCCAATTGCTGAGCTGCAGAGATGTGATCAGAAGAGGCAAAGCTCTGAGTAATCCTACCTGTATTGATGCTTCACTTTGGAACAATAGCTTATGGTAATTTCTTTCTGTAACTGGTTAGCTACACAGGCTCAGGCTGAGGGCAGAGGAGAGATCAGTGTGTGACATTTCATGTTCTGTTTCTTCTGTGTTGAGAGACCAAGACTCAGCCAGGTTCTGTCTGTGCACTTGAATCGGCATTGTTCACATAGATATTTTCAAAACCTCTTTGTGCAGAGTGTGAACTAGAAGATACCTGGATTGCATGATTGGCATTTGTAGAAAGCTGATGTAGAGTTGCTAAGAGAAATAAGAAAAATGATTGTCCGTGTTCATTCACTTTTTTAGGATGGGATTATGTTTCTTAGTTGATATAAATGGGCAGAGCTGTACTAAATAATTTCTGAGTTGAAAACTAGGAACCAGATGGTTGTGTTTGCTGTCCTCTTCAGCTTTGTTTTCACTTTTCTCTGAAATACTCTTAGTAATCGTGCGCTTGAAAGCCATCTAGAGAATGTATGATGGAGACAGAGAGTTTGTGCAAAGTGTGTTCTGTGTAAGAATTCACTGATTGCTTTTACCATTAAATTTCTCCCCTAGCTCCAGATGCTCAGTTGGAAAGCGAGAGTGAATATTCTGCTTCCTGCTCAGAAGAGGAGGAGGTAGAAGAAGCCCAGAAAGAAGTCAGTGCTGTTTTATCACATCAGAAGACCCCAACAAAAACTAAGGCCGTATCTACGCCTCCTTCTAGAAAAACCCTAACCAAAAAAAAAGACAACATGGTGAGTGTGCAGAGAACACCTCGGAGCCAGAAGACTGAAGGGATGTTCAGTTATAATGTGCTGTTAGTGAACACACTTGGTAGTAGTGTGCAGAGTAGAAGTAAAATAGATAGTAACTGCAGATCAAACCAGCTGTGTTGGCTTTTGCTGTACTTGTGAGCAGTCTCTACTAGAATGGACATCATGTGAGCCTGTGGGCTAATATGGTCTCCGCAGCTATAAAATGAGAAAGTCTTAAAATTTTTGTGAAGGAGGAGACCTTGTACTGAGAAATGATGAGGAAATTGACTCCTGTAATGCCAGAAGAATCATGCTTTGCTTTCTGGCTTGGCATTCAGCTTTATTTCCTTCTAGCACAAAGGATCCTCCCGCAGTGTGTTCTATTCTGTTTTTATGTCTGGGAAAGATCTATCTGAATGGGTCAGCTTTGCAGAATGCTACTTGTATACTTGCATTTTTTGCAAATATAGAGTAAGGACTAATAGAAATCCAGAAGATAACTCATACTGGTCATCTTCAGGCATGCTCGTAGATGCAAGGGGAGAAGGGTAAATTGTTAGTAAAGGGGTAGCTGATCTTCCTGTCCCTTTTTAGAACAACCTCGTAGAGGAATACTTTGAAGCTCACAGTAGTTCCAAAGTGCTCACTTCGGACCGAACGCTGCAGAAGTTACGGAGAAAAAGATTGAATCAGGTACACTTAAGAGTGAATCACACAAATAACAGAGCTTTTGATTCCTTTGAAGATTTCCCCCATCAAAGCTACCTAATATTGCTATTTTCAGTCTAACTGCTGATGAAATTCTCAGTGATTTAGGCAGGGGTTAGGTAGCATTTCAAGCATCATACTTCCCTTATGTCTCCATGCCGTGGGTTATTGCCCAGCTGAGTGGGTTTGAGGCAGAAGGGGAAATGCAGGGAGAAGGTGTTATCAGGTGAGCAGATAGTTGAAAGCTGAGGTTACTAGAACAGGTTAAAATTTGATCTTGGAGAAGAAGCAGAGTTGTAGAGACCTGCTGTAAAAATTATTACCAAACCAGCATTTTTTCAATTGAATAATTGGTCTTGATCATATGTTGAGCAGATGGAGTCCTTTTTGTCTGTGTATTTTGGAGTCGAGCACTGTGCAGGATAGGGACAGCTCTAAACGTGATTCAAAACTAAGTGATAACCACTTTATTTCCTTTCAGTTCCTTGAAGAAATGAACTATTGAAATGTGACTGAACTACTGATCTGTTGTTCCTTCCCCCCATATATGCCACTTCTACAGGCAGTTCAAAGTAGGCAATTGTACTTTAGAGAGATGAGTACATACAGATGCCAAGGAAGCTTGCAAAATATATGGATTATGATTGTTTCTTTGTGCCTATCTTGTTTTTCAAACATGGTGATTGGTATGTAGAGATTGCCTAATGCTTGTTGCCATCTAGAGTTGCTACCCAGGGTAAATGTTGGATTCTTAACAAGTTCTGTCAAAACAGCTCCGGAGCAAAATCAAGGCTTTCAGTATTAGATCTCTTGATGGCACTAAATAAAGGTGTAGCAGTTCTGTCTCTCAGTGTTTTATGTTTGATAGATACACTGCAGCTGCCTATTGTGTTCTTTCCAGAGTAAGCTATCTACTGCTTGAAAAGCAAAGCTGTTACAATTGAAGAGAAAGAGAGGCCAGTGTAGATACGATATCATTTGTTATGTTACTGTGCTGTTCAAACAGCAACATCTTGGCACATTTTTAAAGCTGAGTTAATCCTTAGATTGTTGATATTTGCTATTGGCTTCAAATTATTTCCTTTCTGCTATGTTTATTTTCTCTGATGATATTTATGAACATTCTTTTGCAGACACAAACATATGAACCGTTGCTAAGCATGTTGACTGGAGCCCTTGTTCCTGTGAACAAGGTTGTGGTGTTGGTATTTTCCTAGTGCAGTGTTTGATGCTCTTTTAAGTTCTGAGCATGTCGTGAGCATGAGTTTCCATAGTGGTTTTCCTATACTCAGCAGGAAGAGGTAAAACATGGTGCAGTAATGGCACAGATCTCATTTCTAGTCCTAGTCTGGTTATTACTGTTTCCCATAATAAGGTAATTTACTCTCTGCTTTTTTTTTTTTTTCCAGTAGCAAAACTATACTTAGTCCTCTCAGGAAAGTACATAGAGAAACATGAATTGTGTGTACCATTGGTGAAAGCCCTAGCTAGAGAGCATATTAGAGGGGTATTTATAAAGACTCCAAGCATACATCCTGTTTTTCTCAGCTTTGAATTACTCTTTTTCAACACAGCAAACATTGCATGACCTTCTGCAAAAATCTCCCCTTGCCTATGCTGCTGAAATTAAAGAGTTAAACCAGCAATATGAGTCCCAGTTTTCAAAGTGGATGCTGCAATTACAGTAAGTATCCAGTGAGAACCACTGAAGATGCCTAGCAAACAGACACTGCCAGTAAATTTACCCTCATGTCAGCAGCATCCTGTGGATGTATGCATCAGGTTGGAGAAACACATCCATATGTGATATTGAAATCAGTGACAGTTCAACACCTTACCTTTGTTCAGCACTTTTTGAGTGACCCGACTCTTACTTCTAGTCAAGATGATGCTTTTCCTATTCCTCAAAAAGATCTTGTAGTGACTGTAAGGCATGGTAAACATTTAATGTAATCACGTGTTGAAGGACTTAATGTTTGTTAGCCTTCATTATGTTGAAGATGCAGTTCTAGTATCGCTCTTGGACGATCCTGTTGTTCTGTATAGACACCTCACTAAATTTTTGGGCCTCTAGTCTGCTAAAAGACTACTTTAACTAGAATGTGTGTGCCATACATCAGATTTCTTGCAGCTAGCCTTACAGAATGATAGAATAAAATCATAGAATTGTTAGAGTTGGAAAAGACCGCTAGGATCATTTAGTTCAGCCCTTGTTATGTGTCTGCTGTGAGCTGAAGTTAAGCCTGAAGCTGACATTCCCTAGAAATGTGACTTTTAGAGGCAAGATTGCAATGGATCATTTTGCTTAATGATAACCAGGATGTATAGACTTGTACTTTTTTTATTCAGTATGTTTTTCTCTTCAGCTTAGGTTTTAATATCGTGCTTTATGGACTTGGCTCGAAGCATGATTTGTTAGAGAAGTTTCGTACATCTATGCTCCAGGATTCTGTTCACCTTGTGGTTAATGGATACTTCCCCAGCATCACTGTGAAATCTGTAAGTGTGAGAAAAGCTCATTTTTATCTAACCACTATGTCTTATAGATACCTCTAAAGTAAAATGTTAAGGAAAGCTTCCTACGTCCTGTATCTCCCGAATGAAGAACAAATCCCATCTCTTTTTTTAAGAGTTCAAAGAAATGAACCGTTGCATTTTCAGAAGAAATGCTGTGATTCTTATCAGTAAAGTATTCATCAGTCTAAAGTGTTATTTTATGTCATAGTTTTGAGAAGGAACAGCAGTTTTGTGTTTATTTTGACTGTTTGAGGAAACTGATGGTAAAAATCACAGTATCTCTGTCATGACAGTCAAGGACTAACTTACAGATTTTCTGCACTAGGTCCTTCAGTGCCAGCACCCTTCATAAGGGGCAGTGGTGACTCCTATTTTCTGTTTTAGGTTCTCAACTCTATCACAGAGGAAGTATTGGACCATATAGGAACTTTCCGCAGCCCGCTCGATCAACTTGAATTCATCATGAAAAGATTTAAAGAAGGTAAAATGACTTTTTAAAAACAAACAAACAAACATGTGAACAGTAGACATTGTTTAATGTTAGGAAAACCTGAACATTTTCTTTGGTCATTATTTTTTTTCGGTATTGTTACAGTTTCTTAGTCTGTTGTAGCTACTGTTTTCTTGTCTCGTAGTTTATGCCACTACTGATGACCAGGAATAAATGTCTATGTTGATTCCAAGCTGTCAGTGTTTAACGCACAATTCTGTAGAAAAGGATGGAGGAGAGTGTGAATATTCTGGTAAGCCAGAGGCTATTCAGCCCCTTGGCAAACAGAAATACTCATCTCTTTTGCATTTAGCATGGTGCCTCTGTGCTTACATGGTATTTCCGTACCATGTTTCACGATGGAACATGGGATAGCTAAATTGCAGTTACACGAGGGAAGATGGTTCTGAGTCACTGCTTGAGGACCTGATAGAAATCTCTCTGAAATTAGCAGCATGGAGAACTTGCGTACAGTTTGAATGACATTTACTGATTGATCCCAAGTCCCTTGGGCTCCTCTGGAAGATTATGGTGTTGGGGAAGGGTCTTTCTAAAAATATTAGAATAGGCTCAGTTAAGGCTTGCCACATTTATTGTTAAGAGGAGTAGTAGTGTAATTTTAACATATGTAAATGCTGATGTTAAAATGAAATAAAAGACAGAAGTGTCAGTTTAGAAGTGGCTTCATAATCAAAGGTAAATGGGTACAGACACACTGAAAGGCTGCTGAATTCTCTTTGTGTATAGGTTGTACTGCTTATGCATACATGGGTTATTGCTGTGGAATCCTGGTTTTGTAGGACAAAAATGTTAAAAAGCATAGACTTCGTTCTCCATCCCTAACAATGTTTCTGGTGGAACTAAATGAAGAATGATTAGCAGTTGTACACACTTGAATCTGCGTAGATCAGTCTCATGTATTTATTACAGTTGATCTGACAGGGAGTCTGAGGAACTCTTGGTTTCCATTGGCAGCCAAGTCTCTATTGATGTGCACAAGAACTGGCTATTTTTCCAGAATTCTTTCTGTAAAAACAGGAAAAAGCTGTTTCCTGGGAATGAGTGTAGCAGCAACAAGCTAAGTTGGAAATCTTAACATCTACTATTTGCGTTATCTAAGCTAAATCTTTATAAGTGTCTTTGAGTGCTCAAAGGGAAAGATTTCTAATTGAGTTAGTGTGCTGCAGGTCCAGTCCTGAATAGGTGTATTTCGATTTTATGAGGGCTTAAGGATCCTAGTTCTGTAACTCAAAAGCAGCTGAACAAACTGTGCTTAGATTTCTCTCCTGAAGTACATTTGAATGACCTGAATCACAGAGCTAAAGACCATAGTGAAAAGGACAATCCCTGGTAATACTCTGAGCAAGTGAAAAGGTTTGTTCGTTTGTGTTTGTTTGGCTTTTTTTAAATAAAAACTTCAGTTGAAGGAAGAACAGCACCTGTGATAAAAACTGAAATATAATGAATTGAGAGAAAGCCTTTTAGCTACTCAGAAATACAGTGTGGTACAGAATCAAAGTAAGCTGTACAAGGAAAGTCATTTGATACTGGAGTGGTGAATGTCGAGCCTGATGGAATGGACTTGTCCTAGACTGCACTGGGAATGGGAAACTGCTTTGTGTACAGTTTCTTTGATTGGTTCTGTGCTGTTTTTTCTGACCTTGCAGATTCATCTTTAGAGCTCTATGTCCTCATTCATAACCTGGACAGCCAGATGTTGAGAGGAGAAAGAAGTCAGCAGATCCTTGCACAGTTATCCTCTCTGCCTAGCATTTACCTCATTGCTTCTATCGATCACATCAATGCTCCTCTCAGTGAGTCCCCCTGGGCCTGATGTAGAATCTGCATTCTACTTCGGGCCCGCTGAGCATGTTTCGTAAGCTCATGTATTACTCTTGGTGTGCAAAACAGACCTGGTGATGTATGTATGGCTGAAGTGGCTGGAAGCCCTGATTGGAACTGTGGCCTTGTGCAACCCAAACTGTATAAACATGCTAAGAACTACCAGTCTCTGATTATAAGAAAAAAAACACTACAGAAGCAGGGAGAAACAACAATGTTTACAAGACAAGCAAAAAAAACCTCCTGTGACACCCTATTATTTAGTGACTTACTGAAATGGAGATTGGATGCTACATTTGTCTCTACATCTTAACAATTTTATCAAAAATTCTTTTTGCACTACTGATTGTGGAATGATTTACAGTATATCCGTGAAGCTGGTATGAAAAGGGGATGCGTGCAACTTTTCCATTGCAGAGGATTGTCTTGTCTGAACTGCAGCATCTGGGTGCATGTACTGTGAATTTCACAAGCTTTTTTTTTTCCTCAAATACTACAGTAGATTTAAGTACATTATAATATTGCTTATTTAATAGCTAACCCTCCAATCTGTCCTTTTTCCTCTCTGTCTAGTGTGGGATCAGGCAAAGCAAAGCCTCTACAATTGGCTTTGGTATGAGACGACCACATTTAGTCCTTATGTAGAAGAAACATCTTATGAAAACTCATTGTTAGTACAGCAATCTGGATCTTTGGCTTTGAGCTCCTTAACACATGTCTTGCACAGCCTCACTCCCAATGCCAGGTAAGACGCTGGTAGCCTTCACAGTAGCACCTACTGAGAATCCAGTCTTCACTAAGGTTACTCTGGACTTCTGTGTTAACTGTTAGGCATACGCCAACCAGGAGGCAATCCCTGTTTTCTGACAGCAGTTTTCAAGGTGAAAATGATGGGACTTAGTTTTCATTTGATTGATTACTTTAAGTGGAAGCAAGCTTTAGCCAGCAACTACATGTGTGCGCAGAGTGCTTGTGATGAGAGAAAAATAAATTAATATTTGCTAATGCCTTTTTTTCTTTGGATTTCCTCTTCTCATCCCTTTGCTTAGGGGAATATTCAGACTGCTTGCTCAGTACCAGCTGGAGAACAAGGACAACGCATCTTACCCAGGTGCATACCTACTGTTTCCTCACCTGGTTGGGGTGGCATTGCTAGCTCAGCTAAAGTGGCACTGTCTTTTAGTGTACAGGTTACATGAGCAGCAACAGAAGACCTGTATTTGTTGGTTCAATGTGTCTCAGTAGTATAGACAGTCTTTCTATTGGTGCTGGATAGACTAGCTGGATTCTAGCGTCCTCTTACTATTGTTTGCTTTCATGTTTAGGCGTTAATGGGACTGCTGGGGGCACTGTGTGGCTATAGAATTAAAATCAAGGGAGAATATGAGCTTGCACAACAGTAGTGCTTAATGAGCCAGGGAAAAACAGGAGATTTGGTTTCCATGCTATTCCTAAGTAATCTCCAGTGTGTCCCTACTTCCTAGGATCCATGTGGAATATACTATCATGGTCTTAACAGATGCAGCAGAGGGTGAGCAGTGTGTTAATGGTGCAGAAAGATGGAAGTGAGGTGAAGGAGTTGCAGATTGAGAGATTCATTATATTGGGAATTACTATTAAAATTCTATTAGGCAGACAGGGTGTCTGGAATGTTAAATCAACTGTTTTCTGTTGATTACTGAAATATTAACTTGGCTGTGTACTCGAAGTGATGTTGCTGCTGTAAACATAATGGTGTAAGCTGAAGCGATGTTTTTAGGTGGGGAAAACGTAGTTTTTAGGTGGGGAAAACGTAGTTTTTAGTGGGGAAAACATAGTTAGACACACTTAGCATTTCAGATCCTTGTTCTCACCTTTCTCTGTCTCCAGGCCTCTCTTTCCAAGACTTCTACCAGCAGTGTCGAGAGGCCTTCCTTGTAAACAGTGACCTAACGCTGAGGGCACAGCTGACAGAATTCAGGGACCACAAGCTCATTCGGACCAAGCGGGTGAGTTGTGGGAAGACAGTAATTCTGGGGATTTGATTATCTTAAACAAAAAGCTGCTTTATTCCTTACAAGTATACCTAAGACGTAAGTGTGTGGCTCACAGTGAGGCTTTGCAGTTTGAAGCACCTGGATGCTAGCAAAGCACTGAGATTTTGTAATTGCAGCTCTTTCCATAACTTCAATTAGTCAGCACCCTTCATATGGATAGGGACTTATAAAAGCAAACAAAAAACCCACAACAAAACAAAAAAACCAGTGTGGTTTAGTTAATTCAGCAACTTACAGGTCTCTGTGGAACATAACTTCCTGAAGACCTTGAGAAGTAATGAACATTGGAGCTTGACTGTGTGATTCAAATGGTTGCCCGTATTTGCATGGCAGAAGAGTGCAGAGTCCTAATAATGAGGCAGTGTAGCAATGCTAGATGTGGAAATATGGTGTTGAGGAGGTGTGTAGTGATAAACTAGCACAGCCCACCAAAAGCTTTGCATTTTTTCAATATTTGTGCTTTTCCAGTGTTGCTCTAAGGAAATATTCCTGGTTTTAGCAGTGTAGTCATTCACAGTGCTTGCCAGCTCTCACCCTAGCTGCAAGTATTCAAAGTGTTGCAGTGCTATCTAATGGCTTGCATTGCATTATGCACTGATGTTAACAGAATGTGTATTGCATGTCTGTTCTCAGGGAGCTGATGGTGTGGAGTACTTATTAATACCTGTAGATGACAGTACCTTGACCGACTTCTTAGAGAAAGAGGATGAAGATGTATAACGTCTGTTCCCAAAACAACTACGGCAATTGCTCTCAAGGGCTGATGGAGAGGGGCCTATACTCAGGTCTTTCTCTTCAGCCTCAAAGCTGCTGGACTACTTACTGAAATGTATTAGCTGTAATGAACAGCGTTTCTTGTTCATCTGCTTCAGGTAGTTTGGAATGATAACTTCTTCAAGCAAGCTGTCTCTTGCTTTGAAGTTAAATTTATCTGCTTTGTCTCTTAGCTCAGATGATGCTCTCTTCATATCTACATAGCCAACTATCAAGTCAGGAAAACTAACTCATTGAGATTGTGCCTTCTGCTCTTTACCAGAAAAAGGTTTGGTTGGAGCAGTTCATGTGATGTGCAAACCACTAGATGGTCAGAGCTTTAGTTTGTACCACTGATGGATTTTTTTTTTCCCCTCAACTGAGTGTTTTCTGGCACTCCTTTACCATCTAGACAAGATTGGCTTCCAACATATGAACAAGCCAAGATTTATAATGCTAAGAGACCTATATTGACTGCACAAGGAATATGAGCAAGCTTGGGATACTGTGGGTAACTTATTAAATTCTGACAGTGGAACTGAAAGACTTTTCTCCAAGATAGAATTCTTTTATGGGAGGATTTAGGTAACAACTTGAGTCCATCACAATTTTTTATTACCTCTTGATGAGGGTGAGATGTTCCAGCTTCTTTCATCTACTTTCCTGTTTATAATCAGGAAATATGAAGAGGCTGTGAAGTTTAGTTTACTTAAAAAAAATAATAATAATAATACAAAAATCAATTGTTTATATGTATTTTTTTACATTGATTGTGGAGGAGGCCTTAAATGCCACTTAGCAAGCTCTCCCTTTTTGTAGCCCTCAGAGGTTGGGAGAGTGCTGAAGTTTCACAGGTTTTCTTCGCTTTGTTTCTCAGGTATGTGAGAGTAAGCCCTAGTTTCATCAACTGTAGTCTGCTAATCAGACTTCAGGGATTCCGATGTCTAACTTGGTAGCTGTGTTACAGCTTGATGTTGTAATAGTTCAAATCAATCAAATAAAGTTCTTCATTAATTTTCATTAGCTTATCTCATCTTCCACATGTTTTTTTATGTTATAGGAAGATAGAGATCTTTCTGGAAGTTATGTGAAAGTCTCATTTTCATTGTTATGTCAAATATCTGTGCAAATCCTTGTGCAGGGGGCAGAAGACTTCAAACTAATTAAGAAAGGTATTTCATATTTTTTTAAGGTATCAAAAATAGACGTTTTGTATGCCTTGTAATGCCAGTATATAGATTTAGAAAAGAACCAAAACATCACATGGAACAATACTGTTACCTCTCAGTGGTATGCTCCTGGTATGCCCCTTGCTGGTATACCCCTTACTGGCAGAATCAACAGGACAGAGGTTTACAGCCTGACTTTCATTTGTATTGAAAACACGGGATATCTACTTATCCCACTGTCAAATTGATTCTTCAAATATAGGAGCTATTTAACTTTGCTGAAATGTGATAGGAGGGGAAACTGGTACTTGCCAGCAGTGCTCTCCAGCTTCCTTCCCCAGAACATCTGAGACAACAGGAAAAGGCAACAAGGAGATTTGAGGAAAATACTTAAAGGAATGAAGGAGTTAGCCTCCAGGGAGGCGCCAAGGCTGGCTGCCCAGGTGAAGTGCCTCTACACCAACACACACAGCTTGGGAAACAAACAGGAGGAGCTGGAAGGCACTGTGCTGCTAGAAAACCATGACGTGGTTGCCGTCACTGAAGCCTAGTGGGATTGTTCCCAAGACAGGAGTGTAGCTGTCAACACTTAGAAGTTGTTCAGAAGGAACTGGCATGGAAGGAGGGGAGGAAGCATTGCCCTCTACATCAAGAAGGAATAGTGTGAAGAGTTGTCCCAGAAGAATGGCCACAAGCAAGTCGAAAATCTATGCTTAAGTTAGAGACTGAGGCAGCAAAGGAAATCTTGTAGTTGGAGTCTGCTACAGGCTGCCTGATCATGCAGAGCCTGTTGATGATGCCTTCTTTTTCTAAATACAAGAGACATCACAATTGCAGGCTCTTATCCTGCTGGGGGGCTTCAACCATCCTGACATCTGCTGGAAAAGTAGCATGGCGAGCTGTTGGCAGTCCACCTGGATCGTGGCAGTCCCCACTATCGAGAAGCTGGGGGATGAAAGGATAGAGCACAGCCCTTCTGAAATGGACTTGGGGTACTGGTGGAATGGTAAACTGGACTTGAGACAGCAATGTGCCCTCGTGACCCAGAAAGCCAGTTGGATCCTGAGCTGCAACAAAAGAAGCATGGTCAGCCCATCAACGGAGGTGATCCTGCCCCTCTACTCTGTGGTGTTGAGACCTCACCTGGAGTACTGCATCCAGATGTGGAGTCCTCAGTGTAGAAGAGACATAGACCTGTTAGACCACATCCAGAGGAGGCCCACAAAAATGATCAAAGGTATGGAACTCCTTATGGGGACAGGCTAAGAGAGCTGCAGCTTTTCTGCCTGGAGAAGGCTCTGGGGAGAACTGAGAGCAGCCTTTCAGTAATTAGAGGGGCTATAAGAAGAAAGGGGACAGACTAGCAGGGTCTGTGCTGACAGGACAAGGCAAATGATTTCAATGTAAAAGAGGGGAGATTTAAAGTGGGTATAGGGAAAAAGCTTTTTTGCAATAAGGGTGGTGAGGCACTGTAACTGGTTGCCTGGAGGTGGTGGATGCCTCGTTCTTAGAGAAGTTCAACATCAGGCGGGACCGGGTGCCATGCAGCCTGATCTAACTGTAGATGTTTCTGTTCATTACAGGGGAGTTGGCCCTCCAACTTGACTGATTCTATCACTTTCTACTTTGGAGGCATGTGCATCTGTGTTTTACAGGCTGCAATTCTAAAAGTCTGCAAAACACGTTGGATCCTTCCTATTGCTGCTTAGGCTACCGTTGGATCCACTAAAACTGTCCAGTGCTACGTTAGCTGCAGAGTTCAAAAACAAATGCTCTGACAGCCCCTTTTTATTTGGAAAGGAAGAAATCTTCTCTCACTTTGATCTTTAGCTGTCTTTGTGGCGTTGATAAGAATGATTGTCTTTATGTCACCTTAGCGGTTTCAGATAATAGTGAATTTAGCCATCTTTTTTCATTTGTATTTAAATGGAGGTAGACATGCAATTACTCTTAAAGCATCACCTCCATTATGCCTAAGAATTCAATTTTTATTCTGGTAGAAAAAACTGAAATGTAAGCACTTGTTTCAGGCTGCAGAGATGCTGCCTTCTACCGAGGTTTTATTTAATTAATTGATGCCAGTCAGTTTGAAGAAGTATGACTAGTTCCCTTGTACTGTGTGGGTTGAGATTTCCCTGTAAATCACATCACTTTGCTAAGTACGCCTGCAAGGTTGAACACCTTGAAGTGAAGCAGGCTGGTGGTGTCATGGTTTGAAGTTGTTTTATTGAAGGAGAGAGCAAAGGAAGGTATGAAAGAGGGGGGTTAAAATGCTTGACAGTGTGATTAAGTTGTATTGAAGTACAGCTTGTGGTGGCAAGCGTTTGGTCACAGCCTCACATCAAAGTTCTGGAGAGATTTGCCTCCAAGGCAGTGTCTGTGTGTAAGACCACTAGGAAAGTCTAGGTAGCACAGCATCTTGACATTTTATTAGGGTACTTCTAGCAGTGCTCCACTGAGGAAAGGCATGGTCTTCTCTTCGACCCTCTGCTGAGAGAGTCGAAGTTACGGAAAAATATTTCCTAGAATCCTGATGATTTTAACTACTGCAGTTAAATCTTCATGCAGTTTTCAGTCTAAGTTGCAGGTTCACACAGGACTCAAATGCACTGAGTTGCTGTATGCAACACAGAAAAGACCTAGCTAAATCAGCCAGTTTTATTAACTAAATTTAAAAAGATGCCACTCAGATGTTTATTAATTTGCTATGGAAGTATTTTCAGCCTGTTTAAATATTCTAGTGTGCATGTAATGCAGAGATAGTAAGATACTTAACAGGGAGATTTTTTTTCTTAAAAAAAAAAAAAAAAAAAAGGAAGCAAATGAAACATCAAACCCTTCCAATCATTACTGATAACGGAAATCTACTTGTTCAGTTGTAGTAATCCTGTAATTGAGAGTCACAACTATAGGAATTGTTTTTAAAAGAAAGCAAAAACATATTTAATTAATCTGCCTGAGAATGGGAAGTGTTATAGCATATTTAAAAAAAATACTTCCAAAGTTTTTCAATAGAGGGACCCTCCACTGAAAAACAAATAAATAAAAAAAAAACAAAGCAACCACCACCCTTACTTTTGTATCAATGGTAGGTTTTGCAATTGAATACTAGCACCAAATGCCTGAATTGTGCTCTGCATATACTTATGAGCTATGTCTTATTAAAACTGTTAATGCAAACCATGGTCAATACTGCTTTAGCTATTATTGAGAGCTTTATTGGCTAAAATTTGAGAGGCTTGTGTTGACACAACCACAGTAAGGGAGAACTGCTGTGTATGCTTGAAAGTGGAGCTAAGTCAGATTTTTATATTTTGCCCCTCTAAGCCTTGAGTGGTGTGGTTATTAAATATATGTAACAATAGTATATTGTAACAGTAAATTTATTCAAGTAAGAGCCCATTTATTGAGTAAATCATCTTTCAGTAGCCTGAAACAAGCATTTATTATGTATCTGATAGATGACTATTTATAGTCCAACCATCGGGTGAACACAGAATGCAATGCTATACTGACCAATTCAGAGCATCTTCATTCAGCTTGCATGTGGATAGCTCTGTGTGGGATACTATTGAACTCTTGACTCTGCTCTCTCACTTCATTTTTTTTTCCCTCTCCTCTCTCTTAAACCACCTGGAGGGGATCTCTGTCCTTCTCAGACAGAATGATGTTGATTTTGTTCTGTAGGTGGATCGTTAGCATGTCACGCAGCTCTGACAAGAAGCCTCGCTCAGTGTTACTGTGTTCACACAGAATAACACTTATACCATTGGCAACTGCATCCAGAACGTCATGGTGGGACATCTCTCCTGCCATGTGAAGAAAGAAACATCATGTAAATTTCTTGCAGTTGAGGTGAATAATGTATTTGTGTAACGTGTTCAGAATCTCAGCTAGAAGCTGGGAAGAAGTCCATAAGGGAAAAAGCAATGCCATCTGCTCAGTGTCAGAGTACAGCATGCTCCTATTATGGTGTCCCTTGAAGGACATTCAGCTGATATCCCCAATGTACTTCTGAGACAAAACCACAGAAGTTCTGTGCTGTCTTTGAATAGTGGTGTATTTTGCTACTTAGGGCAGGAAATGGTGTGCAGAGAGTGGTTTTGGAAGTGTCATGCATCTGCTCAACTGGGTTGCTACGACGAAGGTCAGCAACTGAGGAAGCTGTGCAAAGAACTGTCTGAGGGTCAGCTCTGTAGTGCTGTATATTAGAGGGGAGACCAGATGTGCCTTGCCAAAGAACTTGACTGAATTAAGCACACAATGCAAGGCATTCTTCAGGTTGTGGAGCAGGCTGTGGAAAGTATCCTCTGCCCTGTCAGAAAGAGGATAATGGACTGTGTCCTTTTGGGCAGATACAGTGGCTGTTGTTACACATCTTCCTTGGAAAGATTCTGTAGACAACATTGTTTCCCACTTTCTATTTGAGAATTCTGTAGGGAACTGGGGAAACAACTTGTATCTTGCCAAAGAAGAAACACTGAAATTTGCAAGAGATTCTGCCATCAATCACTGATTTTGTGTTGGGGGGGGGAAAAAAACAAAAAAGAATGTATAGTACCGTTTACTTCAAATAACCATCACTATGTGATACAGCCATCTGACCCATGTTACCTCTACCCTAATGTTATTTTTCTGTTATTCCAGTAATTGACTGTTTCTCAGTTCTAACAAGTAATGCTTCTTGCCAAATCTTTCAACAGCCAGACAACCCTCTCTTTTCTCTTTTCCTAGTGCCTATTTTTATAAAGATAACAAAACAAGTCTCTTACCTGTGAGATAGAGGTCAGCTTCCATTCCCTTCAGGACACTGCTCCCAGAACCAGCACACAGAGCAGCTTTCTTCACTGGAGAATCTGCAGGATACAAGGTGCCATAATTAACTACTTTTCCTCTGTTTAGCCCTCATATCAATACCAATATCAATACCTTAATTTTAAGGTCAGTGTAAATTTATTGGAGGAAAAGACACAAAAGTCAGTTTGTAAGAGTCAAAGGCCCAGAGCATCTGTAATAATAAGCAAAATCTTCTGTGTACCAAAAAGATGGGTAGGAATTTTTCTACAAGAGGTGGGAGAGTTGGCAGAGAACTCCAACACCATGGCTGGTTGTTGGCTACTGCAGATTAGTTCTTTTTAGTGAGGTGTTGTTACTTAGGTATTTGAACTGGAAGGAGCAGCTAATTGGCTGCTGCTCCTTCCAGGACTCTGAAGCTCCACTGTATTTGTTTTCCAAACTAACAATGCCACTAAGGCAGCATTTTCATTCTGAGATGTACTGCCTCCTAACTGCTTTCAGAAGGCTGATTTCAGTGCAAAGCTGAGTGCTCCTCCATTCCATTAAAAATATGTTTTTGCTATGACTGCTGATTCTAAGCTATGGCATACTGACAAAATTTAATTTTCCATATATATGTTATGTTCCTGACAAAGGGGTAGGGAGGAAGGCACATGATTTTCAAATTCAATTAAGATTTTACAGTGTGTTGCCAAATAACTACTGTTGGTATAGGCAAAACCATATGCTGCAATCCCATATCGTAACAAGGAACTTCAAAAAAGATAAAAATGCAATTGATAGTGCTAAGAGGCTTGCAACAAGGTTTCTGTCCCATAAGATGCAAAGATCTCTCAACAAATTTGCTCTCAAGAATTCTAACAGCTGTGTTTCTTGGAAATTAAGATTCATAGCTAGGCTGACAGGATACTTGCTCCAAGTTGTAGTAGTGACCCACAGTTTGACACAGATGGCTTACCTTCTCTGTTGCTATTTTTCTCTCATAAAAACATTGATGGTTGTTTGTTCAGGATACCACAAAGCATCTTTACAGTTTTAAGGTGCTGGTAAATTTAACAGTCAGTTGCAAAAGGGGTCATATTATGAGGCAGTACACACTTAAGTCTAATATAATGGAGGAAAATATCTTCAGTCATTGTGTGAATAATGAAAAGTGGTATTTCATATTCAGCTCATGCTGTGCCTGCTTCACAATGATGACCACCATAAAACATTTTCCAGTCAAAAATGACGTTCCAGACAATGTTATTTCTGCATGATTTTATCACCAACATTCTGAAAGGCTGCCTCTTGTCTTTGACAGCCCTTTATACTGTTTGCAAGTAAAGCTGTCCAAGGCAGCAGTATCTCACACACCTACACACACACACACTGCTTGAATTCCTGGAATACAAGCAATGTGTGTTTTTTTCCCGCTCAGATGGGCAGTGTTACTGGCAGGTTTGATTACCAAGTGTCTTGCCTGCCCCCACGGCGAGGCGGACGTGGGGTAATTTTAGGTGGCTTTTGATGCGCTCAGTTATGTCTGACAAGGAGGCTGGCTCACTCAGTGTGCAGAGACGTCCCATTCCACTATGCGGAAGAAGAGGCTGAAGAGAAAAATTCAAATTACTGTGAGAAAGCTGACTCCAGAAGTTCACCTTACTTTCCGTAGTGTACAAAAATAAGTATATTGGGCATTAAGGAGAAACAATTCTCAACATTTTGGAAAAAATATGTATGTTACTGAATGTAACATACTAACTACACTGGCTGTTAGAGCCAATTTTAGAATTAGTTCAGGCCATGTAGTTATTTCCATTGTTTTGGAAAATGGACATGGCTTTAAATGCCCACGGGCCATATTTCAGAGAACTGATAGGCAGCAAAGGAAACCTGTAATGCCAGCAGTTGCTGGAAATTTTAGGGCACTCAGCTCACACAAACTATATTCACTGGAAGCAATATACAATTTTATTACCTTCTGTAATAAGAGAATCTCAGTCCTGCGATAAAGAAGGCTGTTCTGGGACAATAACGCCACCACTTCCAGCAGTGCTTTCTGAGAGCAGTTCAGACTGACTCGTGTTTGCTCCTCCCCATCAACCCTGAGGAAAGATGTGTTTGGTACTTGCTAAGAGATAGATAAAATTTCAGCATCATATTCATAGAAAATAAAGGTGTTCTGTTGCAGAAGCCTGCTGCAGAGACAAAGGGGAAAAAAAGACGTAACAGTCTAGCTTAGTCTGCTCTCCTGGAGGAAACATACTTGGGAATTTAACTCAACTGTTCTTATTTTGTATTTACTGTTAACATTCTTCACCACTTTAATCCCTGTGATGCTACACGAAGTTGATAGTTACTATTTAGTATAACATGGATTGATCAGAAGGAGATAATTGTCCTTTGAATATATGGATCTGTTGCTGAAGAAGAATGGCAGCACTGCACAGAGGACTGAAGTGCTTACAAATGTTAAAACACAGTTCCAGCAACTTCATATTTTCTAGCAACAGAAAGAACACAACATTAGAGAGTGAAGCAGATACCTGACAGGGAGAGTGGTGAGACAGAAGATCTCTGGGATGTCTTTGATTTTGGACAGCACTGTCTCTAGATGCTCCACAGTGTCTGCACAGAACTCCACCCGGTGAGTGCCCTCAGTCGGATAGCTTGGAGCGGTTGATGGGTGCAGTGGAACAGAAGTACAGGCACCTTAGAAAACAGAGCAAGGACTGGTTTTAGAAAGCTGAATGCTGTGGCTGATACTGATTTATGCACCAAAAGAGGTGCAGTTTTAGACAGATTTTGCACTTGAATCCATTTTCCCTGACTAGAACTCAGGACTCTTGTCCTGTTAAGTGCAAATAAGTTGAATGATACGTCTAATTTGTTACTCTTCATACCATTCAAGTTTTATCCTAACAATTGTACCAAAAAATCATTTCTGGTTTGTAAAGCAGGCTGGAAAAAGCACACCTGTTCTCGTTTATAAGCCACAGCAGAAGATAAAAGTCTAAAAGAATTTCAGATACTTTGTCCTGTAGGAACAATGCGATTATCTATAAGTTTATGAATTACAGGCAGTGATTTAAACTCAGCAGCCTAACCTCTTTAACCAGGATAGACAGTAAATGCACTGCACCTGTTCTGTGTCCAATAGCATCCAGGCACCTGGAAATGTCCTCTGGTGTTCATAGCTGGTTTGTAGCACACCGAGGAAAGGAAAGCAGGGAGGCAAGGCTCCCACCTGGGATAATTTGATGGATGTGCCGAATACCGCTGAGTAACTGCACCCAGTGTCGTTTTGTTTTGACCAGCCTCACCGAGTCCTTTGGACAGCCAGTTGTTGACTCCGTGCGGTACGGCATCGTACGCTGTGTGTGGTGAGTAGATCCCGATCCTGTGCTCCAGAGCGCGGACCACCAGCCGCTCCTTCCAGGTCCTCCACGTAACCCGCTTGAGCGGAGCGAAGATGGGAGGGTGATAGGAGAGAATGAGGTCTGCGTTCTTCTGCACGGCCTCCTCCATCACCTGCTCGGTGAGGTCGTTGGTGAGGAGCAGGGTGCGCACGGCGTGGGGAGGGCTGGGTTCCACCAGCAGCCCCACGTTGTCCCAGCTCTCAGCCAGGGAGAGGGAAGCGAAGTCATTCAGGGCGGGAACGAGCTCGCTGAGGTTCATGATGGAGCGGGAGGGCGGGCGGCCCGCAGCGCGGATGAGACGGAGGGGCCGGCAGAGCAGCAGCATGCGGAACCTGCGGGGAGGGGAAGAGGACGGGAGTCGGGCCAGCAAGAGCTCCGCCCGGAACTCCGCGCTGAGCGGAGCGTGGCGGGCGGAAGGCCCAGGGCCGCCAGGAGCAGCGCTCGGCTCTGGCCGAAGCGGGCAGTTGGGCGGGGCGGAGCTCCTCACGGCTCCGCCGCTTCCGCCGGGCCCAGGGGCGGCCTTTGTGCGGCGCCGGGCGTGCGGAGCCCATGCTAGGCTGGGGGGCGCCCGCGTGGTACCGGCGGAGCGCGGCTCAACCCGCGGTTGCTTGCGGTCGCTGCCCGTGACGCTGTAGTGAAAAAGCGCGGAGTCGCACGGGCGCTTCGGAATCGAGAAGAACTGGCGGCTGGGGGAAGGGTGAGCCGAGCATTGTGTGTTTCGTTTGCAGGCGTTTGCAGTATATGCATCAACCTCAGCTTTTTGATGAGCAGGCATGGTAAGAACTATAGCACTTCTTACATCTGTGCTTTCGGAAATGTTCGCGTCTTGGAAAGCGAATGGCTGCTTCTCAGATGATGCGTTGTGCACTGAGCTGTGTAGAATTTGCAGTGATAAGTGCAGGTTTCCATTTTAGACTTCCGAAAGATAAGGTCGAAAAGAAAACGGGTCAACTTACCGTTGTATCAGCCTGAAATACAGTCAGACTCTCAGTTCTAAGACAGCCGATTTCAAACCTTGTTTGGCTAATACCGGTTTGCTTCTTTTCCTACCAAAGCTTTGTTGGAGATGCAGGCACGAGGCCCTCTGCGTGTACACTCCACGGTATGCTTAGAGGCTTCTGAGTTCGGCAAGCTACAGCTCGAGACAGGAGTGTGTCTTAAACTGTGTGTACTGCTACTCTTCGTGGCCATTACAGATGCTTCTCCTGTGCAACAAAATCTTTTTAAAAAGTTACAGGTTAAGCAGACTCTATAATAAAAGCTAGTTACGTGGGTTGAAAAAAAAAAAACTCGGAGCTGTTTTTTGATGAGTTTATTAAGTAGTTATGCTAATTATGGCAGATATAATTTGTCCAGACAAAAAAAAAATAAATTGATTTTTCTGAAATCGGTTTGTCTCACTAGCCTGGCAAATGGAGGAAGCAGGAAAATCTATCAAAAGAATTTTTTTTTTTTCTATTTGACAATAGATGAAAGTACTGATGGTACAGCTACAACTCAGCTTGCATTTGTGTTAGAGCTATTGATGACGAATATAATGTTATTGAATAAATGGGTTATGTGGTGCCACTAATTAAATCTTTTGATTTGTATGAAGCAGTAAAAAAACCACATTAAAGTGATATTCTTTAACCTATGTTAGCATGTCTGGTATAGGTACTGATGGTGCCCTGGTGATGGTTGGTCAAAGAGAGGGATTTAGAAAGTTAATAGAAGATGATGCAGTGGTCACTGGCAACTCAGTTTGGTGAAATATCAATGCATCATACATCAAGAAAATTCACGTGTGAAAGCTTTAAAAATGGTGACGACATGCCAGTCGTCATCAAAGCTGTGAATTTCAGAGTCCAATCGTTCTCAATTCTGGGAGTTCTTTAAAAGCGTTGGTGCTGATTTATGGGGACATCGTTTACTTTTCTGAAGGAAGGTGGCTAAGTCAGAGCAAAATGCTAAGAAGACTTTATGATTTGAAATAAGTCCTTTATTGAATCAAAATGAAAATTTGTGTCAGACTTGAAGATGAAAAATAGCTCACACGTTTAGCATTTTTGGTGGATTTGACCACTCATTTAAATGAGTTAAATGTATGTCTTCAAGGTGAAAATCAACTTACCTGTGCTGTTTCAAACCAAAACATCATTTGAAATTTAAACTTAAATTATGCTTGAGAAAAACAGGGTCAAATATCCCACTGGTTTTATGTTTTTATTGCTATTTTTTTAAATAATAAAAATGTATTTGTAAAAAGGTTCTCTTATTTATATACTTTAATATATTATATATATAAAATATTATATATTTTATATGCAACTCAAGACAATTTCTGTTTGCCGATGTGCCCAGGCATGCCAAAAGGTTGGAGACCCATGCCTTAGTGGCTGGGTAGGTGGCGTTTAAAATGTTGTGAAGATTGTTTATAAATTTTCAAGAGAAATGTGAAGTTTTGTAGAGTTACTTGTCTGTGGGGGCACGCTGTGTGTAGTGCCGTTCAGAGTTAGCCTGATCACTCAGAATGCTCTAGTCTAATAATGCCCATCACTTCTTCTCCTGGTTGTAAACCAGTAGGGTATATGCACCTCCCAAAGTAAATATTACCTTGATTCTTCAAATTTGCAGTGAAATGGCAGTGTAGGTCTAATTCACAGATGAACAATTTGTCTCTGAAGTGTAACAGCACAAATTGGAGCTTCTGCATTGTTATGGCAAACTTGGTTTGGCCTGGAAGTAACTGACAGCAATGCATTCTGGTAATTTCAGTGGAAATGTGGAAGCTTTGTGACAGTAGGTTGCCTGTGGCCAAATACTGACACAACAGTTGTATGTAATGGGAACTTGTTCCTATTCATGATAGGAGCAGGAAATAAATCTGATCTGCAGCTCCTAGCACTTCATTGCTGGCTTAATTATGTTTTGTGACTTTCTCAGGCTGTCACGCTGCACACTGATGTAGGAGACATTAAAATTGAACTGTTCTGTGAGCGAACGCCAAAAACATGTGAAGTAAGTTGAAAAACAGGAGTGGGATTGTGTAGTATTGAAGCAAAGCAGTAATGGTGGAGACTATAGAATGGAAGAAGTGGCTGTTCCAACATTTTCAAATAGTGGAATATTCCATTTTAAGTTGGCATGGAACCTGTTGGAGAGTGTATTCTTGTGTGCTGTGTCATAGAGCCTAAAGCTCTGCTGCCTGTTTCTCACCAAGAAGTATTTACTTGAGAGTTGTTTCTTTCTAATTTCTCGTGCATTTCAAAGTGTCCTTTGCCCTTAGGATGAAACATGGGACGTGGTCTGGGATTCCCACGTTTGCCTTGGTTTGCTCACACTCAAACAGATGGGACTTCTTAAAAAGAATTAAGAATCACTCCAAGTCTGTCAGAGACCCCAAGTTTTCTTTTCTGCAGTAAAATTAAGCTTGCACTGAAATTGGCTACTTTTTAACTAAACAAAAATATGAGGCTTGAAGTTATTTATTACAAAACGCATTTTACAAAATAAAAATGTGAATGCAAATGATGCTTGTGGACATGCCTCAGTCCTCTTATTTGTTCAGGTGAGACGGCTTTGTGCAGTCAACCTTATTTAAATCCTTTTTGTCTGTGACAGTGTCAAAGGAGCAACTTAACCATAATTCTGTATGTCCGTTCTATTGCATTACTCAGTGGGTTTCACCAAAGAGTGATTCTTCAACCCATCTTAACTTTATTCTTTGGGAAACCAAGGAAACAGGAGCTGGAAAGACAAACTGCAGTGTCTTAAAAATATAGCTTGTAAAAAAGACTTGTGGTTTTAGAGCTGTTTCTCTTTTGATGATAGATCACAAAATGATAAAATCTTTTTCATTGAAAGGGACCCTTAGAGGTCATCTATCCAGTGCCCCTGCCCAGTACTCCCAAGTCCATTTTGGCTGGGCTTGGCTCTGTCCTTTCATCCCCCATTTTGTGCTGATAAGCAGGGGTTGCCACAACCCAGGTGCAAGAGCTTGCACTTGGATTTGTTTTACCTCATGATGTCCACCTGTGTGCACTGCAGGGGAGTTAGAACAAGATGATCTTTAACCCTTCCAACCCAAGCTACTCTATGACTAGTGAAGCCCCATCAGACCTGTTTCTGACCTCGTCTTATCTGTTGATGTTATGTGCAAATGACTTCACTGTTGCCTAATTTTCATATAACCTATAGATGTTTTTTATTGTGTTTGGTACTGTTTATAGCAGTGGCAAAAACCTAAAGCCAAGCAAAGGCAGAAGTGTTTTTTCTGTTTTTTCTTGCCATTTTAGTATGGGGGAATGTTACTTCTATTTTATTGATGTGGTTTGTTTCATATCCTTAGAATTTCCTGGCTCTTTGTGCTAGTAACTACTACAACGGCTGTGTGTTTCACCGGAATATAAAGGGCTTCATGGTTCAGACAGGGGATCCATTAGGTAAATTCTTTTGTCGCAGTCTCGCTATAGAAAAATATACATAAATATCAAAGTAAAACGTAACTAAAATATCAAGAAATACAAAGAAATTGTAAGCATCGGTAATAATTATAAAAACAAAATGTAAATAAAGTTAATTTAAAATATCTTCTATTGCTAATAGAGGTTTTAATGATGTGAGCTTACAGAGAAGCAGCCATTATCTGGTTCTAAATGATCTATTGCAGTAGTAGAGCATTCTGTAAATTTTAGTTTTCCTGCTCTTTCCATTGATTATGATGGCTCTGCTGATTCACCAGCAGTTGAACAGTAAAAGTTGCTGCTATGGTTTCTCTGTTTTCTGCCTGGAGAGCTACATTGCCTCTAAAGCAATTGGGAAAATGAGCTAGGCAGCATCAGCTGTTTGGGAGAGTGTCTAATTCAAATATGCGTCTGTTTGTACTGAGTTTAATTTGAGGATATATCAGGTTTTTTTGTTTTGCTTCTGGAAATGCAATTACACAGAATTATGGCTCTTCTTGTTATTAAGACACAAGAACCTGGTTCCTGGCTCAAGCACATTAGGATGTATCTGGGGCCTTTATTGTAAAATTTTACAATGTTATATTATTGCTGCATTTTCCAATCTCAAAATCCAGTAGTGTATTGTGATATTTCTTTGTCAGGCACTGGGAAAGGAGGAACCAGCATCTGGGGCAAGAAATTTGAAGATGAATTCAGTGAATACCTAAAGGTATTTTTGTGCTCTCAATGTGCCGTTGTTTTCAGATTAATTTTTTTCTACAGGTTGGCGTATGCTCAGTGTTGTGCTGGATTAAATACTCATTTTGTAATTGCAAAATGAAGTATAATCAAGGAGGAGTTATTAAAACAGAAATAGGCATCTTATTAATTGGTGTTAGTTTTGAGGGTTCTCATCAGGGAAAACAGAAGTAGAAACAATTTGTAATATAGTATTTTTAATGCATCAGAGGCAGAAAAAGTGTCTTTTAATTGCGGAAGTAGATTTGAGGAGCTAGTGAGTTGTGATACCATAATTATGTTGCCATGTTGTTGGTTGAAACCAACTAGATAAGTTTTTAATAGTAATGATGATGCTGAGGAAGAGTATCACTTGGATGCTCCATCCCTGGAGGTGCTCAGGGCCAGGTTAGATGGGCCATGAGCAGCCTGATCTGATGGGTGGCAGCCAGCCTACAGCACAGCGTGGTACTGGGTGAGCTTTTAAGTTCTATTCCAAGCCATTCTGTGATTTGGTGGTCATGTCGCTGAACACATTGTACGTGTTGCAGTTCTGCTTTCATGGGAGATTGGTTATTCGAGTTTTTTTTCTGTCTTTCAGCATAGTGTC